GCTATGACTCTCTGAAGCAAAGAAGTCATGTATACTCACAGGGAGCAGGTGCCCAGCCCAGTGCTGAGAAATGCCCCTGAGGGGTTCCTGGCTCTGCCCCTCAGCCTGCAGCGCATCATAGCTCACACTAGGTTTCAGTCTGAGCTTTCCACTTCCTGGCCATGTTGCCTTGGGCAACTGCTTAAACGCCCTGGGCCTCAATTTCCCCAGCTCTGAAATGAGAATACTAAGATGGCCAGCTTCACAGGATGTTGTAAGGATCCAATAAGAAGAAATGGGATTGAATACAGTGCTTGGCATATAATAGGCTTTCAGTGAATGGTGGTGGTCATCGTGAAGATGGTGAATGAGGAGGAGCAGGGAGGATAAGCTGCAAGAAAAGATGCCTGGGGATCGATTTGGCTCCATAGGACCCTTGCTGGACAGGAGCCTAGCTTACAAACTGACCACCAGATCAGGTCAAGAACATGAGGGAATCAGCTGGACTGCCTTATATCACTCCAATATTCAGTGATTAACTGTCGAAGGAATGAAATAAGCTTGAATCACCCAAAAGCACATTTGCTCTAGCTCTGCTAGAGGTAAAGCTAAATGTATCCACTCAACATGGGATGCATCATTATTGAACAACAATTGAGATGTTAGTCAATAAACAAAGGCTCTTAGCCTTGGTGGTCAGGCCCTGGTGTCCCTTCTGTGCTTCCAGTCTAGCATGATGCCCTGCACCAATGTTGCTCACGAAATTGCTCCATAAACAAGAATAAGGGAATGCACAGGACAAAGCCAGATTCGAGGCAGTCAGGTAAGCAACAGGCCGGGAATCTGACCGTGTGAACTTCTGTCCCATTTCTACTGCCTTGGTTGTTCTGCGCACTCACCCCATACTACCAGCTCACAGATCCCTGAAGGTCAGTGCCACGACACATGGGAAAATGGAAAAGGTCATGACCTAAGAATAAGGCCACAACACTCAGCCAGACGCAGCAACAGCTAATCTATAGAGAAAAGGTGAAAGCAGGAAAAAGCGGCAAAGCAATCGGCTTGTCCCATGTGCTGGGAACCAAATGGAGATTTCCTAGACACGAGGGAGCCAACCAAAAAGGACCCCAGGCCCTCCAGGATGGGAAAGGGAAGAGAAGGTGCTGTGGCAGCAACAAGCTTAGTAAAGATAGGATATTTATCACCTTGGCAGCTCCTAAAATGGAATGTGCATCTGTGAATAAGATTTGATTGAACAGGAAAACAGTCAATACAACAGTGAAGTGGAGAGGAAAGAATGGATTTTTGTAAATGTTGTCTCCTACCTTTTGACTGCTTTCTGGAGCATGTCAGCCTCAAGAGATCCTCTTTGATAAGCAAAAAGCCACACTGGGGTAAATAAGTCGTGTGCTTTAGGGAACGCAGAGCTATTCTGAGTATAGGCTATGCAGATGATAAAAGACGAGTGACCCCTCTCAGGTGAATGTTTGCTTTATAGCAGCCCATGCCCAGGCCACCTTGCCCTTGTTCTGGATCTTCCCTGTGGCCCACCCACAGGGGGCCTTCCCTCTGTGGAATTTGAGTTTAAAACAGGATAAGATGGTCCTCTCATCTGTTTCTATAGAGCTGGAAGACTCGATCCTACAGAAGAGAAATTTGGGCTGGAGCACAGTACAGGTATCCTGCCCCTATCATTGACTGTGCCCACAACCTCACCCCTGCCCTGCTTCTGGATCTTCCCTGTGGCCCACCCACAGGGGGCCTTCCCTCTGTGGAATTTGAGTTTAAAACAGGATAAGATGGTCCTTTCATCTGTTTCTATAGAGCTGGAAGACTCGATCCTACAGAAGAGAAATTTGGGCTGGAGCACAGTACAGGGATCCTTCCCCTATCATTGACTGTGCCCACAACCTCACCCCTGCCGTGTTCAAGGACAGCCTGGGTTCCTAAAGACTGTTCAGGAGTCCACTTTGGATGTCAGCTGTTAGGAACCAACAGGGAGTTGTCTCACA